CAGAAATTAATGCACTCGGATAAAAAGAGGGCACGTTTCTCACCTTACCCTTCAGGCAGCATCCACCTTCCAGTGATTATATGTTAGCAGGCCACCACATAAAGCCTTCACGTGAAGGAAGGAACAATCGCAACAAGATTTCCTCAACCTGCAGCTTCTCAACGACTTTGTAGCCACAGATGAGCACCCTACAAGGAACAAAGCAGCAGCTACGCACGTCGCGTTGCAGCAAGGGCAGCCACCAGCTCCAAAAGCAGAATGAATATCTACGTGGGGCAAGAAAAGCGATTTGTAAATAAGAGACCTCAGGCACTGAGGGGGTGTGACCCAGTAAAAAAGGATAAATATTCTTGATTTTACTGCTCTTTTGTATGCCACATAGGCTACAGCTGTACAATTTTCTTGTGCTTTATAAAGGGGATTACAAATGTTCTGTTTAATACTGTTTTCCCTTAATTACCTTTGATTTGTAGGGCCTGAATTATACATTTTTTCTGCCTAGATAATACTACACAGAACAACTTTTTTCATTTTTAAAATGAATGCTTCTAAAAATGCTTGCACTTCCTGCTTCCTTTCCCTTTAGCGCAACTATCCTCCACTATTTGCTACAGTAGCAAACAAAGTAAGTCTTTGTATTCCCTTGGCCTCTTTCTGCACCACTTAGAACTACTGTATATCAACACAAGGTATACTGCATTGCTGTATAAGAACAAATCATATTTAAGATACATTATCTAAGGATCTTAAATCTCCATTAACAGTTTGGTCTCCTTTACTGAAATATTTGTTCACTCTATTTACAAAAAAAAAAAAAAAAAATACAGCAGAGAAAGAAAAAGTTTAATACTCCACAGTAAGTCTACAGCACAAGCAAAAAAACTAGACCAATTATTTGAGCTTGGATCCAAAAAAGAAAATCTCTGCTCAGCTCCTGCCTTTGGTCTCTGACAAAGAAATTCACTTCCTTATTCTGTGCCTCTGTTGACATTTGTAAAATCAGTATATTTCTTCTCTCTCAACCTTTGGCTGTCTTTATTTAGAGAGTAAATTCTCTCAAGCCAGGACTATTTCTTACAATGCATCTGAACAATGCTGAGAACAAGACTATTGTTGACAACAGTCGTGGTTTGCAGAAATACAAGCAAGGAAAAGCAAACCTTGCTTAGTTTAGTTCAATTATTAGAAACTCTTTAACATGAGTGAATAAATTATGGCTTTGTTTTACTGGATGCTACCTTGTTTTGTTTTTACTAGAAGAGAATTTTCGGGTAAATGATTTTCTGTAAGTGGGAAATAGATTAAAAGATATGACCACGTGTTAGGCTACAACGCATAGCCTAGTACAAGGGGTTGTTTAGCATCAGCTGATGGTGAAGCTAGCTGCAAACTTAAGCTATAACTACAGCTATCATAAGGACTGATGTAAACTTCATGTAAGGGAAAGATGTACGTAGCCTACAAGAACCAGGTACTCCGCTGTACTAACCAAATATCACTTCAAAATTAATTGTGAAGCAAATATATAAAGAAGTATTACAGTCCTGCTTAACAGAAGAGTTCCGCAGAGCTTCCTCCCAGCTGAAGCTTACTGGCACCAGCCTGCTGTGATTTACCAGGTCACGTGGAAAAGGTAAGCTGGTAGGCAAGGAGAGAGACGCCAAGCTGCATCCAGCTCAGGCTGCTACAGTGTTCTGGACCACGGAGGGAAAAAAATAGGGCTGTTTAATAATTTGAAAGTTTGAAATAAGAATAGAACAGGAATCCTTGCCTTTGCTCCTGTTACACTAAACGAGTACTCTTTGCAACTATGCCAGGTGGATGAATGGTCAGAAACAAATTTAGCAGTGTAACAGCTGTAAGTATAATCAGTATTATGCTTTCTCCCAGTTTCATACCTTCTTCCATTTTAGCCGCTTGACTTCTGTCACTTTATCTGACACAAATATGTTATTTTCAAAAAGAGAACTGTGAATGTATTTTTTTTTAATGCACATTCTTACACAACTCGTTTGTAAGATTTTTGGATATAGCAGTCTAATTTGAAGAACAAAACAACCTAAGGAAGGCCTAAGAAACGTACTGAAAAAAAAAAGTCTACCCATATGCAGATATTCCAGTGCTAGGGAAAGCGGATGTCACACATCACATTGAAAGCACAGAAAATAAGGACAAAAAGGACTTTCTAAAGTTACCTAGCTTATATCTTTTGCCCTAAGATGGGATCCGTCCTAACTACACCATTCCCAGCAGCTGTCTGCACTTGAAAAATTCCACAGATGGAGATTCTGCAGCTTCTCCTGGCAACCTATTCCAGTGCTTAACCATCCTTACACTTAGGAAGTCCTAATGCCTAGACTAACCTCCACTGCAGTTCAAGCTCATTACGTCTCGTCCCAGCCCCAGTGGACACGGAGAATAGTTTATTCCCTTCCACTTTGCAGGTAATCACAGGAGACTCGGAAGACCCATTACACTCCCTGTATTACACTCATGTGTTACATGCCTCCTTATCTTTTCATTCTATAGGAAAATTTACGATATAGTCAAAAAGTGCAACACAGTCTTATGAAATAAGTCATATTTCATAGTAAATGTCTTTAGCATATTAGTCATAAGAATAACTGGGTGAGTCCTGTATTTGACTTTTCAGTTCTAAATTCCACACAGCTAAACGTATTATAAAGTATCACTTAAATATTATTTGAACAAAAAAGCCCGTCATGTCTTCCAGCAGCGTGGCATTTGCTTTGAAACTAGAAGTTATATCAGTTGCATATTGACTAAAAAATTACTAGCGTTGTGGCTATGATTATGCCAAACAACATAAAAGCAGCTAATGGTGCAATCACCAGAACAGATGTCTGCCAGTCAGAAGAAATAGGGTCTGCTCCAGATCACTATGACTGATCAATGGTAGGCACGTCTTTTAGGCTAACGTTTTCAAAAGTGCCCAATACTAGAAACACCTGGTTTTTGGGCATCTATCTTAAGCAGTAAATCAGTTCTTGCATCTGTTAACTGACTGACTGCACAGTTCCTCCAACCAAAATCCTTAATTTTCAAGGCAGTGAGAACTAGTAGACACTCACAGCAGGATGGAGCTAGCAATAGCTACGCAGCTTCACAGAGGTCACTCTCAATGGCATCACCTGAGTCTTTGCATTCACATATTTGGACTTAGAGCAGGGACTGGTTTTGCTTCGGAAGAAACACGTGTCTACAGCACAAAATTTTTTGGTTTTTTATTATAATTGTAGCAGGACAAAATATCATGTCTGAGATGTGGCAGAGCTAGAGATCTGTATATAGTACCCGTATACTGACCATCCTGAAGTACTGACCAACAGAAAAAGCACGCTTACCAGCATGCTTTTGTAACGTTCAGGGCACAGATGCCACTTGGCTTCTAACACCATAGCGTTATGAGGCTCTTGTGAGAGACAACCTGTGATATTTTTCCCTGCAAGCAGTCAGCAGCAATGGATGATTCTATCAGAACGACGGCTATGACTCCCTGTTCTCTGTATGGCCCTCAACATGCTGCAGAAAGCAATGACTTAAGGCACTTCTTTTAGATCTCAATTCCTCTGATCAGCTGCTTGTCAAAGGTCAGAAAGGGCTTGTTTTGTGGTTTCTTTGACTTCCAAACTTTTGTCTTTACCTGTATTTTAGGGAGAGAGCGCTAATAAAAGGAAGATTACTCCTATAAAAGAAATGTCTGCATCCATCCAACATCCATTCTGCAACATTCAGGTCTGCACCCAATATCAGCATCTGTCCAACTGCATATATTCCTAAGACATGGACACCACTGCTGCCCTGTCCAGCTAACATTTCACTTTTAGTTATGCCAGGTTGTCTCACTGTATTTTCTACAGACCCTAGCTTGTTCCAAAACACCTACATAAGTCACCCCAACACCCCAGAGAGAACGGCTATACTATCCAACCAGTTTTGTCCTACCTATCTGCGATTACCTGTGAGAGAGAGAGAGCGTAGATACTGTATGTTTTGCTGGCAAATACATACAGTATTTATACCTGCTTACAAATGCACTGCAGCCTGGAACAGTAAGACAACTTGACAGTGCTCTTAACATGGGAGTCTGCTGTCTCAACCTGTAATCTCCTAAACCAGGGATTTTGCACATCATTTCTTTGCTAGTCATTTTAGCAGAAACCTTTCATCCCCATGTTTATGCCCCAAACCTGAAGTATAATCTCATTCCTCCACAAGAAAAAAAAAAATTCCAACTTCCTAAGCTGACATCAAAAATACAACCTTTGTCCAACATCTTCAGCAATGTAGTCTTCTACCAAAAGTGCAAAATAGCCTATTAAAATTTGAAGAAAATGGGGAAGTGTATGCCTATCAGAATAGAGGCTAGGGGCCACTTGTGACTACAGTATTCATTTTCAGTAGGATCTTTCATTCTTTTAAAGCTATTGAAATCAGACAATTTTAAGAATATCAAGTAATACAGATCTAACTTATGACAAAATATTCAACACAGCTCATTTAATATCTCAACACTGCAGAGCCCAGCTTCCTCTCCATCACCATCTTCGAACAATCCCTTACTATCTCTGCTGTGAACAAGTTTGTTTTCTTAAAGGTAAAGTACCCCCAGGGGTTATATGGTCACTGTTATTTCAGAATGGAATAGGCTGAAGTAAGGTATGAATCCAATCATCATCCGTTTCCAAGATATCCACACAACAATTACCTTGGATAAGACCCAGAAATAGTCATGTTTCCTTTTGTCCCTCCTCACCGTTCACTAGAAAGTTCCTGAAGTACTTTTCAAACATCTGATATAAACTACCTAAGGAAGTTAAAGACAAATTCCTTTAGAAGGACAATGTGAAAGTCTGCCCTGCAAACAAGAGTTGGAGGAGGGAGCTTTTATTGGTGCTACTAATCAGAAAGCATTTATTTTGATTTCCACGTGCCAGACTGGAATATTCAACACAGAAAACACTCTTTTTAGTTGAAGATGGATTTGCAGGTTTATTCTCTTGATCAGACCTATCTTCTCTTCTTGTTTTGAAGAGGCACATACACAGAGTAGCTGAAATGTTTTCCTAATACTACTTTCTTAACAGAAATTAAGTTGTCTAAGTTCAACCATGTCTCCCTCCCACATTCCAAATCCCCAAGTGGTTGATATAAAATTCCAATTACAGATTGTACTTCTGACCAAGCGGCAATAAGGTAAACAAAACATATGGAGAAAGAGCATACTGCATTGCTTTTGTGGCCAGAACAGTATTTGCACTCTTTATCGCTGTTCTTCTCTACCTTTTTATTTGTGATACCACATAAACTTTGCACTTTCAGGTCAAACTTGCAGACGCCAAACAGACTGGCCTGCTGTAGCCCAAGCCCTCCATTTGCTTCCCTCCACCCTCAATTCTTCACATACATGATTAATCTTGGACTTCTATACAAATATACAGTGGTAGTAGATGACTAATCTAAGAGTACTATATGCTAAGGAGTTCTCACTTTCCTCCCGAAACGGTAAGTGTTTTCTCAGTAGCTGTCAAGTCATCAAGATAACCTAGCACTCCTAATGCAACTGTAGATTTTCACAACACCATGAAATCGTTACCTGAATAGTCAGTATCCGCAGGTGAGGAAAGTATTCCCATTTTACCTCACACAGAAGACAGGTTAAGAGATTTCCCATAATGAAGTATCTAGAACTCAAGAATTCTTGCAACACAAAGGTCTAATATTTGTTTCACAAAAAGTAGAGGTTGTTATACAAAATTTGTTTTCAAAAACCTAGGATGTGTATTTATTGAACAATTCTGAGAACGCTGTAAGTTTTCATAATTAGGATACTACAAAGTGTCATAAGTTGTTATGAAGCTGTATAAGCAAAGTTGCCTACAAGAAGGAACTAGTTTACCTACAGACAGCAGTTAAAGAAAACACTGATTCACTACTGTTCTAAGCAGAAAAGTAATGACAGATTATAACATACAACATGCAAACAAATATTTCTTAGTTAAAAATAACAGCAATACAAAGACTGTTCTTCCCACTTTTGTTGTTTTAGTTTCGTCTTGTTGGGAGCAGGTGGGCAACTCTTTTGTAGAGAAGAGATATCACCAGAAGTCTAAGTAGATCTGAAATAAATAAAAATTACTTGCTGAAACGCAGTTTATGATATTCACAAGCAGGTAAAATATTTGACCTTCCATAAATGCAAGAACGTGCAGAAAGATAGCTTTCACTTGTATCAAGACATGGTACATAACTCAGTGCCTAAAAGCCTGAGCTTGCCAATTATTCTTTATTTAACATGGCACCATCTTGATGCCTTTAAGAATGCATCATGCAGAAGTGCAAGGTGACTCAAATTAATATGCAGAGATCACTATGAAACAAACTATTAGTCTTCTGTCCCAAGTAACCTATTTTTAGAATAAAGCAGAGATGACTCACTACTGTAACATTAAAATATATATCATTCTTAGTCACTAGAGACTAGTGCCCTAAGGTTGGCACAAGCAACTTATAAATGTCAGAAAAGCATGTAAACCTTGTTAATGTTTTCAGAAATTCATTTAAAGATAGAAACAGGTCCAAAAAGATGCCTGTCTAAATGCATTGCAATTACGTTACAATTATTTTCCAAATACACAGATATGCTCTGTCTTTTCTCAGCTCATTACTGACTCAAACAATTTGCCCTTCTGGGATCAATTGTTTGCTAATAAATAATTGTTTACAGTCACAAAATGATATTAAGGAGTATTCTTATTAGTTTTTCTTCTACAGCCTAATAAGATTCAAAACTAGCTGATTCCCAAGAGTCTAACCTTAACCTTGCTGTGTTTAACAGCCCAGGAAATGATGAACCATCTGTTTCAGAAAATAATGGAGGGCCAAGAGGAAATATTGTTTAATTGTAGATTAACCTCCTCATACGGCAGAACGAAGCATCTACAGAATTAGCAACCATAACTAGCAAAGAACAAAAGTAACTGAAAACAGCTCTTAATATTAGAGGAATACTTGTTGTTGATCTTGTATCACCTTTAATACCTCCTAACTGTATAGAGGAAGCAGAACCTGATTTTACAAATAACTGAGAAAAAATCTCTTTTTAAAATGAGGAAAGCCACAGGACTAAGAACTGAAACAGTTATATTTATTTTTCCCCATCAGTATCAAAACTTTTTTAAAAATAAACGTCTCCAAGTGAGAGATGCCATGTTTATTCTTTTGTTACTTTCTTCTTGCATCTCCACAGTGGGGAAATGTCTGCTCTGAAGCAATATATAAAATCACTTTGGGGGGAAAAAAAAGTCTTGAGGTTTTAAGACTCTAGAACTCTGATATACAGCTACTCACGTATCCACTGAAGTAATAAACAATGGAGACAATGTCTTTAACAGACAGTCTGAGTACTAAAAGAAGAAATTAGCACAACAGTTTGAAATTCTAAACTAACCCCATGCTAGCAAAGTGAAGAGCAATGCAACTCTACAATGTTAGTTTTTCTAAGCAACACTCAGGCCAAAGAGCTTAACAGAAAACTTTTACCTCCAATAATCAGTTAGCCCCATTTTGACAGCAACAACGACAGAAAAGTGTGTCGCAAACTCCAAAATACAAGGACCGAGAAAGCCCTTTACTCGATTTTACAAAACCTTCCTAGAACAGTATCCCAATTCACTCCGACCTAACACTGACTACACACCTAGCTGTAAGATTTCATTAATCCAATCTTTAAATACCCAAATACAGTAACTTCTACTCAAATTATTTTTGAATTCTTCACTTAATTTTTCAAGCAGTGAGCTAGCAATAACTCCACAGCTTCATATAATAGCATCTATTCAAAAGGGATAGGAGTTTAACATTCTTCTTCTACTAAACAACTAGGCACAATTTTATCCATCAGACGTCTATCAACCTACGGATATTGAAAGCTTGGGCAAACAAGATAAAAATCAAATCCAACCCTACTGTCAAGCTGCACTATCTACTGGCATCAATAATACTATTCATGAATTTAAGAAAATTAATAAATCTTGGGATGAATGCTCAGAAAGACTCAAATACAGGTGAAGCATACTCACTTAGGTTTTGTTTCTGCATCTGTCACTTGGCGAATATAGATACCATCTTCAGGATGCTCAATGTCATCCATTTCATACATGTATGAAGAAGCTATTGCAAGGGTGGTTCCATCATTGCTGAAGGCAAGAGATGCTATGCTTGTGGGATACCGATGGAACTGACACAGTCGCTTTTTATTAAAGGGATCCCAAATATTTACAAATCCATCAGAACCTCCTGAAAAATGAATTAACAAAACCTGTTCATAAATTATTTTTGCAATAACTGTAGGATTGAATACTTACAGCAAAGAAAAGAGTAAGAGAAAACTACCTGGAATTACTTTGTCAATCAAAGCACAAAGTTGTAGAGTTGCATAACACAGTAGAGAGCACAATGAGTACTTCCTAAAAATCTGTTCAAAAAAAACTCACTACATAAAATAATTCAAAACCCTGCTCAAAGCAAGAAGTATGATTTGAAGACCTATGAAGTAAAAGCATTTCAAGTAAAGGCTGACCTGTTAAAACGGAAACTTAAATGAAAAAGCAGCTGATGTACTCAAAACGCTTTGATACCAGTAAGTTATAAAAACCGAGTATCTACTCTACCTGTAGCAAATGTGTTGTGGACATTATGGAAAGAAATGGCATTAACTGGATAAATCTGCTCAATGTTATTCTCCTTCAAACGGTGACATTTGAAGGCATATTTCTTCTTCTGTATTTCTGGACTTGGATCCAAATATTCCACTGCAACACGACCTTCAATAGAACTTAAAACATAACCCTACAAAAAAAGGGAAGATATGCACTTTAAGAGTTTAGAATAGGAGAAAGATTGCCACATAACTAATCTTATACCCTTCTAAATTCAAATAAAATGTACACAATCTTAAATTGTGTACAAATGGAGATTATTTGTTACCACAGAGCCACGGCATCATCAGTAAACTCTTCTTCTAATGAAAAACTAATGTAGGAAAAGCTTTCTGAGAAATTCTCACAGCACCACGAGTTAAAGCTTACAGTGAGACTTCCAATTACCCCTGCAGATCCAAACGTAAGTTGATTTGGAAAAAAAATACATACGTACATGTATATATGTGTGTGTGTGTGCACATATGAGTTAAAAGCTCCTTGTATTTGCCTGCCTATTCCATAAGGCCTAAATTTCTCAAATATTATGGATACTCATAGGACTGTTTAGTTTCACAACTCTGTTTCATTACAGTTAGTTCAGAGTACTATACTAGCAACTAAACACTCAAGGCTGAAATAGTATTTTCAGTGAAACTTGATTATAAAGGGGTGCCCACTTACCCAGGCAATTACAGCCCCGACTGAGAGCAACTTAAAATTATTGTATTAGAACCTCTGAATTAAACCTGTAAGAGACCTTTTTGGAAATAGGAGTATAGTATTCACCTGTAGCAAGGTTCTTCAAAATCCAGACTACCTGGGAGATAGGAGACTACTAGGAGATAGTAGGAGACTACTACTATCTGGGAGATCATTTACTATACTACAGCTAGAACTGAAAAATAAAACACATTCATGTCAGTTCCAGAACAAATAACTAGGTCTCCCAGTGCCTGTAATTTCACTGCTTACACTGGAAACTCTTCCACAGTAGTTCTTGCTTATGTCAGAGTAAGCTGATCTTGCTTTACTTCAAAAAGAGCTAGAAATACTGCAGATACAGTTATTCCATGTAAGTTAACATAGTGTATGATCACCCAAATTGTACAGTTCCATCTAAATCATGGGTCATCCAGTCTTGAGTGCATGACAGTCAGGTTTGAAGAAAGAAAATAAAAGAATGAAGGAAAATAAGCCACTTCCACATAATTTTTATCCTGTCCCTGTTGAAGAATGTAGGGCTACTATGCATAAAAGCTACAGAGCAACTCCTAGTCTGTCTTTCCCTCTTCTACTGCAACTTTTGTGTAGTTTTTCCGAAGGTTACGCACCAGTATTGTGATGTATTAAATAACCAGTTTAAAACAATGTTATCAAGGAGAAAAAAAAGAATCTGAGAAAAAATAAGTGAGAAAAAGATGCTGGTGAGTAGGGGTGGCAAACATTCCTAAGCTACACTGTTTTTCAAATGAGAGAACTTGGAAGCAAGAGAATCAGCTTTTTTTTTTTTCCTTTAAAAGAGTTCAATTATGACATCATAAAGATCAAATTTTTTTAATGAGGGAAAAAGGCAGAAAGCTTAAGAAAATAGGCCACCATCTTTCCTAAAGAATATTCTACAGAAGTAGAATTACTGCCATGTCTCCCATACCTGTTTATTTGGAAACGCTCTGATACAACGGGTCTGATACTTCAGGCTCGATTCTCTTCGCTGCTGAACATAACCCATGTTCCGCAAATCCCACACCAGCACTCTCCGACCTGCAGTCCCCACAATTAGTCTATCTCCAGACACAGACAGCGTGTACACCTTTCAGAAAAAGGTTACAACATTATACACCTATTAGCCTGGATATCCATGGCTCATTGTACATAAAGGATCAGCAATATATAAAAAAATACAATTCAATCCATAGCTACAGATTTGTTTCTTTTTCACTTTAATTTGTAACTGAAACTTGGGATAAACTGCAGTAGTGTGTAGTTGGTTACTGACCAAACACCAACTTAGCATTTCAGAAGCTCACCCTTAACTCTGCACCCTAATACATACCTTAAAATAAAGCCTAATGCAGTATCATCCTATATATAACTGACTTACAATTAAAGAGATTTAAATATGAAAATGCACTTGTGAAATTTTAATTCTCAAGCAAATTTGTTCAATGTTTTTATTAGTCTCTAGATCACAGTGATATCTAAATAACATACCGTACATGAGATTTTTGCCTTTTGCTGGTATTATCCCATTCCAAATTCCATGTGTACAGTAGTAAAATTTAAAAGCAAAATCAATGTTATTCAAGCTTTCCTCAAATTATCTTAAGCATTAAATAGATAGGAGATTTCAAGCCAAGAAATATACAAAGTAATAAAGGAAAAAAGGCTATGGAAATTAGAATTCATCTTTACTTGATGTGCACAGCTTGCAACCAGCACCATCAAGTCATGACCATGCACTTTAGTCCTACAGTACTACATCACTTTTTCCGGTCCAGTAACACTTTTTCTCTCAACAGAACACCTTATTACTTCAAGCTGATGTTATCATGCTAATAAAGGGAAATAAATTGCCAAGAAAACATTAAAATCCAATTCAAGGCATGCTTCAATAAAACTGGCTGAAGTTGACTGAAGCGATATGCTTGACACCCATTAAAAAATTGTGGGTTGAAACATCAACTCAAAATTGTCTGAGAGTTTCTAACTTTTCTCTCTCAAATTTCTCATGAAAGTAATCAGCATATAAGTCGTTCCATTTCTATCTACTATTTGATATGCAGTTAACCTGAGAATATGTTAAAATAAATCAAGTTGGGTCAAAAACTCAATACTATTAATTGAATTTCAAGTTGTTGATACACAAACAAGATGGAATCCAGCTACCCAATACTTGTGCTGTCGTTGGGCTGTTAACATGAGTAACAAGCTATAACAAAAACAAGCTTTTACAAGCAGCAGATATCGTAAATACCTCAGAACTAGAATGAAAGGGGTAGGAGATGTGATATTCTGCCAGAAGGATTCAATTTACTATTGGCATGTGCTTGTACAATTTAACAGAAGCAACTGATTTCACTTTCCAATTCTCTGATAAAGCCCAATAAAGCTACTTGTTTCTGGTAAGACTGCACTGAAATATTAAACAAAATAACTTTTCTGCGGATTTACTATAAACATTTCTGGAGAAACTGTTTTCAAAAAATTAGTTTTTAAATATAAACATTAAGCTATTAATGTGTGCGTGTATATATTTATGTAAATAAACATATGTAGCTTCCTTTAACTAATACACATTCACTAGACATACATTCTTTCTTTAAAGAAAATATGTGAATATTGAGGTTTCTCTTAAGACTGAAACATGAACCTTCACATAAGTCACCTAAAATTTCTGATGATTTCAATTGCCAAACCCCATTTAGATACTAAAAGGCCAAGAAAACTGAGCAAAAGTAGTTATACACTTTCACAGAACCATTTTTTCCCTTTCCAGTTGATGTAAAAATTGATCCAAAAATATTAACAGACATTGTTTCTATACATGTGTAAAAAAATTAAGGCATAAAGAACATTAAATATCTTGAACCTTCTTTACAAACTGATGTCACACCTGTATAGTAAGTACTCTTTCTATACACACAATCATAAATCAGATGAAACCATTGTCATGCAGTTGAGTAGGTGTATGCATTTATCAAAAACAGTATTAAAAAATGATATTCTGTCGGCAGTTTATCACAGTTCTTTACATGCTACACACAACTATAAATCAAAACTAGAAATAATGCAATTACTTTATTCTGAACAAAGGTCTTGCCAGAAGTAGATTCAGCTATGTTGTGACAAAAGTAATGCTACTTAGATGCAATACGGAACATAACGATGGCTCATAACTATGACTTGACAATACATTTTAACAGAACTAAATGAAATCTAAAAAAAAAGGCACAGGCAAAAAAAAATTCATGTGTAAAATTATCTAGCAATCCACTCCTTGTTTAGGAGTCTATGATAAAAAAAGAAATTCTCTTGTAATTCTATTAGTGATACCACTGTAAGCACACCACATCACCACTAGAAAAACTTAAGATAGTATGTTTCGCCTTTTTCTTCTTGGTCTGTCATTAACATAGAGCATTAGGAGAATTAGAGTATTAGAATGCCTGAATTTACTAGGCATTAGTACAGCCACAGGTAACTTGCAAGACAAGTAATTCTGTCCAATCTTAATACAAACAAAAAAACAAATACTATTCTAGGAAGAGTAAGTGGCCTCCTACTATAACTCTGTGCATATTTCTAAATAGTCAGACCTTATGATTGTCAGAATCTGATTTCTGCAAGTCTTAGTATTTAATTGCAACGTGCACTATCCCTAGCTTCAGGAAGGGAGTGAAGTCAATAACTGTCTCAATTTTAAATGCTATATTTCCTATGTTTTCCTTACCCAATAGTGTTTTAAAATACAGGGATTTGGTAGACCACAAGCGCTAAAAATTAAGTTATGCTCTCTTAGTGATGAAAACTCAAAACCTTAATCCAAAATCCTGCTACAGTAACTGAATATTTTCAACATTTCAGTTTGCAACATTCATTCTCACAGCTTAAAAGCGTTAGAAGTAACTTTTGGTATTTAAGTTGCATAGTTTAAGACAGCATGCTGTACACACTGATTATTTAACCAGTCACTGGATGTACTGCTTAACATATTACCTGGGATACAGCATCTAGCACATACCTTTTCAGGTTGAGAGAAAGTTCCTGCATTACAAGGAGTTCTGGGATCCCACAGTTTAACTGTTTGATCCCAGCTTCCAGTCACCATTACATTCACTTCCGGGCAATACTCAACACATCTGATAGGAGCATCATGAGCACCAACAAGGTTTTCTAGATGAGAAAATACAGTCTATTGTAACTTTATTGGCTCCAGAAACATTTAAAATGTGTTGTACAAAGAACTAAAAAAGCACACATTACCACAATAACACACCATCTTCTGACATTCCCATGGATGCATTAATATGCTAGGATTGCCTCTAAAGATTTTTCAGTCTTCAAAAGTATAATTTTCAAAGATCAGACATGTTAAAATTTAGATTTGTCTCCTGAGATTATCAAAGGGTATGAACAATTTAGGCTGCCAGAGAGATCTACAGAGGTGCAAAGTGTAAAGTATCCACTTGATATCACTACCTGTGATGCAAACACTTAATGCAGGAAGCTGAATGAGACTTAAGCTTGCATGCATTATCAGTAGGACAAAAGAAAGGAATTACAGTTAATATAAGCACTTCTAGTAACTCATCTATAGTAAAATTATTTGACCTTTAATACATTACTTTGCTATGATTGCACACAATTTTGTCAAGCTCTGGCCACTGGGTGATTTTGGCACTCCACACACGCCTCAGGCTGGTACCATCTTTCTTCTACCTCTCCTCCCCTCCCCAAAGTTAGCTCCATAATCTGCAGCAATGAGGTACTAGGAGTCTATGTTTAATTCTAGCAGTGCTTTCTTATAGAAAAAGCTAGTAGAAGGCTATAAAATTTAAAAATGCAAAAGCTTTTATGCTAAGGATGTACACTTTGCCATACCTGTAAGAGACCATTACAAATACGGTTGAAATATAAACCTTCGAAAATAACATGCTGAGAGACTTAGTAGGGCTCAGCTAATTCTCCCTATATGACAGGGAAGAGCAGGCCTGTCACCAGAAATACAACTCAAGTCCTACAACAAGTATTCACCAAACTTTTTGGAAAGTGGACAAATCTTTTCATAGCACTATGTGATACCTATTAGGGCCAGTAGTTTTGCTAGATAAAGGTACATATGTTTGGGGTGGGGTTTTTTTGTTTAAGATCCAACCACGCTGAGAAACCTAAAACATCAGTGTGACAGGCATATAATGGTTTCCTTCCCTTCAATTTTCCTCTTGCATCTTTAAATAAAAAGGAAATATGCATGCAAAATAAATAGTGAATATTCATCTCTGCATAAAACTCCTAGAAGTCTGACAAGATCAGATGAGGCCCTTTTAATAAAGGTATTGTAGCAGAGCCTTTAATTGCACCAAAAGGAATCCTGCGTTGTTCATTGCCCTAGACAGTTCTACTTTGGTGATGAAAGAGGGCTGCAGAGCAGCGTTGAGCACTAATAATGACAACCTAAAAATCAATAACACACGGTATTTCATGTTTGGGTACAGCTCTAATGCAAGATCTTCTGAAAATAGACATGCTAAGCATCTTACCTTTGCTGTATGAAGTTTTGTTTTTTAAATATTTTCAGATTTAACTCTTTATGTATTTCAGCACCCATTTCTACAAACAAGGACACCCCATAGATGTGTTGTCAACATAAATGATGTTTCCAAAGCATAAAGATTGGTTTCACATAAAAGCCAAAGAATAACTTTTTTCAATTTCAAAAGAGAAGTGAGTGAGCACCAGTTAGAAGCTATGAATGCAGTAGGTATTCTACGGAAAAAACAGCATGCTACTGTATGTCATAAGCCATGTAATTATAAGCTTCATATGCACAAAAGCAAATGACCACCTTACTTCTTGTTAAGATTGTGTCCTACGTGAACCAGAATTTTTACGCTGGGAGGGCAGAGGATGAGCAGAAGAATCACACAGTGCATAAATTAACACCACTGCACTTCATCTTCCTAGCAATAAAAAGCTTGGAGAACCATATACACCTTTACTGAGGCTAGAGGTGTATCTGGATCCCTCTTCATCCTGCTAGACATTTTCCAGGGCTAGAATGACACTGATTTTCAAACTACCATCATGCAATGCACAAAAGCAAACGTGACTTTTCGCACAATGTTTCTGACTGATCAAGTGAAATACTTGTACCACTAACCAACATATATTAAGAGTTTTATCATTCAAAACCTGAACTACTGCTAAAAGGAAATATCCCCCATCTGGAGAACTAGAAACACATTTTACTGTTTTGCTTTCATGTAAGTATATAAATCTTTAGTCCAAGTATTTCAAAGAGCCTACTTACAGAAATCAGCCTGCTTACCTTGGTCCGTGTTAAGATCGTGCATTTTCAATTGCTGATCTAATCCTCCACTCCAGGCATGGGTTGGATCCTATAAAACAACATGCATTCAGTATCCCTGGCTGACATACATTTAATCTCCTGGACATATAACAAAGGATGACTTCTTTCTCTCAATAATTTAGGGCAGAGGGAAATTAAGATATAAGGGTTAAGCCTGGCCCAGATCTTAACTGGGCAGATGAACAAGGCAGATGACAGAAGCTTTAAAAGTGTCGAAGCACTGACCTATATAATTTAAAAGTAAAACTAAAAAAAAAAAAGCTAAAAAAAAAAAAAGAAGTTAGAGGCTATATCAAGCCATTTTCATTTTGGTAACAGCAAAACACATAATGTTTGTTTTTAAATGGCCATCAACCTCAGTCAGTTCCAACTGAAGTGTTTTCCTTTTAAAACTAACTTAGAAGCCAGAAACCATATGAGGACCAGTGTGATTTGCAGTACAAAACCAACTATATGCCAAAACAGCTAGTTTAAAAAAAAAAAAAAAAACCCACACACTTAGGATCAAAATTTTAAATTGATCCTTACAATATACAGTAAGGCAACAAGATCAAGTCACAGGAAGATATGCCTAAAAAAAAAAAAAAACCTGCTTGAAACTTTCTATTTTATATATTATATAAAACCAAAACAACAAGTATTACCAATAAACTAAGGATACTTCAAATCCAGCATATTAAAAATACAGAAAGCAAGCATTTGGCAAATGGTTCTTTTGGAACAATGAGCCACTGTTTCCTAAACTAGCCAGTATGAGAAGGTTTTAAAAAAAAAAAAAAGTAATCTACTATAGGCAAGTTTACTGTAAAAGATCTGTGGGAATACACTACCAATGCAATCCTCTGTAAGGAACATGCAAACAGTTTACCATACCATTGCAGAAGCCATGTCAACAAACTCAAATTATTGAGCCTACCACAGGTTAAAATATACATGCAGTAGGCAGTTATGTCACACTGCTGGCAGGCTTTTGGCTGTTGTACTTCCATAAATGACAGAAAAAGAAAAAAGAAACACACACAGAAGTAAGTTATGTTCGTGTCTGCATCCTTCACAGGAAATAAAGACTCTGGACTAGAAAAAGGTTCATTAAAAAACAGAATCGTAATTGGCTGAAGTACAGAATTTTTTTTTTTTTTTAATCTGGATACGAACTATCCATTTAATTTGACTGAATAAACAATCTCTCATTTACCTTAGGCATTATAAATCTAACAAAGGCAGAACGCACTTACATAAAAAGCACAGTCAAGGACAGCTCCTGAATGTTGATATTTGAGTCTCATGGAGTTGGCAGGCACATCATAGAGCCGGACAGTTGTGTCCCAGGATGAAACAAGCAGAAACTGAGACGTATTTGGACTAAACTTTACTGATGAAATACCATCATCTGGAGTTTGGTTTAGTTTGAACTCGTTCGACCCAGTCATCTGAAGAAAAGATGATATAGCATAGGCATATTTGGAGTGATAGCAAGAACGTTAGCTCAGCAAGATAGTCAAATCATTGATACATCTTAGAGGTAATTTAAAGGAAACTTGAGAAGTTTGCTAGCTTTCACACATAGAAGGTGGAGAACACCCAGATTTCTGACAAACTGTTTAAAATCGAAGGTACTAACCACTGTATCCTTAAAGAATTCCTCCTGACACAGTGAGCTTTAAAGTTTAAATATAATATAAATAAATAGTACAGAATTCTGACAATAATTACTGTATTTAAGCTTGGACATGTAATATTGTTACTTAAAAATGTATTCTTTCCCCCACATGCTATATTCTATATGTAGCATAAATACATTTTAAAGTAGATGCTCATAAATTACCGTGAGCATTAAAAAGTTACTTTAAGAAAATACAGGCAGAAAGGAGCCTGATTTGAAATATCCTACAGGAAGCGTTCCTGATTTGGTAGGACTTTCATAAACTTTCAAGAATTGCAATTAGATCCTCTTTTAAATAACTTCTGATCCTCCGAAGCTTTCCAGTACTTCAGCTACCATAAGTGCTACAAAATAGTACCAGCAAAACAGATTTAAATATTTTTTCTTAGAGTCAAAACACTGTCAGATAAGAAAGCAAGATTAGGCTTTGTGGGGTTCTGAAATATAGATCAAATGCATAAATACAGAGTGCAGGACGGGGGAAATCAACAATTAAATAACAGATTAATGACTCTAAAGATAACTGCAGCAGTCATACATAACGGAACTAGTTGTAGGTACAAAAATTCAAAGGAGGAGAGCTGAGGCTATGAGTGGCAAGTACCATCTAGAAAGACAGCGCGGATCTTGCAAATGCTCTAAACGATGAAACTGTTCATTACATACACCAACAAAATCTCTAAAACACTTAAAACGCTTTCCACGGCCTTAAAAGCACGTTTCCATTTTGGGAAAAGGGCCAAGAAGTAAATTAGCCCAGATTTTCTTGAACATTATCACTCCTGAAATTCTATGGACAATGGCAGAGGTTAGATTAGACCTCTGCCAACAAATCAAGAGACAAGGATCGAATTCAGCATACAGTTTTCTATTTCAACATTTGTCAGTAAGTGAACAATCAGGTTGAATAAAACATAAGTAGTACACATTTTTACATGAGAAAAACTTCCTAAGAACTTTGGGAAACGTTCTATAAGGCATCCTTCAAAAAAAAAAAGTATTTAAACACCTTCTACTATTTAAACATTACATTAAAAAATAACCTGCTACGGTTAAGGAATAAAAGCTACCTTCTTAACCCCTTTTTTCAGCTGAGTTTTGAGACTTCTTGACCAAAAAGACAGACATACTTGAGAATCTGCCACATTCACTATCATATGAATACTGTTAAAGTATTCACCAGCACCTTTATCACACTTTAAATGGTGAAATCTACCTAAGTGAGTATTTCATACTACTTCAGATGAATATAAATGACAAAAAGTAGAGGAATTAAAAACAGGCAGAACAAGTAGACTGGACACACTAATTATCTTGTCTACTTGTGACAGACAACTTAAACAGCAAGCATGAGATTTGAGACACCTGGTGCAACAGTTACTAACCATCCCGAAAGGAAAAAACAAGCAGTGGCCCAGGAAGTAAACTTACATCAGAGACCCAAAAGGATCCTCCCCCCCAATGCTTTTTAATCCTGGAAAATTGTACCAGTGCCGGAGCACATATTTAGCCTATGTATTAGCAGGGGTTTGTTTGTTGTTTTAAGTAATTTCACACCACAAGCACCCCATGTTTTCCAAAAAGCAGCTTCTTTAGGACAGAGAAGACAAATAACAGCAGTAATTGCCATGCCCATCTAAAATAACAAAGTGCTGATACAATTTCATAGCACCACACGAGATATTTCATAAAGCAGACATAGCGAAGAAGCACACTAATGAAACCACGATGCTGCTCTAAACACACGGATGAAACCGCGACGCTGGTTTTTAACTACAACGCGCATCTTATTCGGCCTGAAAACCCCTTTAGCCGAAGAAAGGGGGAACCACGGTGGTTCTACGGCTCTTCTCAACACAATACCCCCAAACGCTTAACCAGGCGGTAACACTTCCGTGAAGGAAGCCGAGCCCTTTGCGGAAAGCGACGCCACGCCAGCGCGAGGGCAGCTTCCTCCGAG